GTGATCCTTGAGGTCCCTTCCAACCTGGGCCATTCTGTGATTCTGTGAGTCTGTGATTCTATGTCTGCAGCAGATATCTCCATGAGGTACAAAATATGGATGAATGTCGTGTTTCAGAGCGAAATGTCTCACCTTGGGAACAAAGAACAAGCACCAGAAATTTCACTAGGATGGGATATCACTGTTTTTAAGGAGAACTCCAATTTCATTGCTTTTCTTTTCTTTTTGAATTTTAGGGATTCTTTCAACTCTGGGAAACGGGTATGTTATCTTTATGTCCTCAAAGAGAAAAAAGAAGTTAAGACCCGCTGAGATAATGACTGTTAATTTAGCAGTGTGTGATCTGGGCATTTCAGGTAATTTCATGTCTTCATTTATTCATCTGTACTCTCCCACTATTCTTTCTGGCAGCAGAAGAGACAGTCCTCCAGAAGTGCTGGGGAGCCCCATATAAATCTACTACTGACACTTCTGCTCTGTTATTTGCATGACAGAGGGAAGGACAGAAAACAACTTTCCTGCACAACTTGATGAAAGGAAGTGAAAACTCCAGAGGAGAAAATAGGGTTGGATTTAACAATTCTCAGATAAAGCTTATGTTCCCCTCAGAACTGTGCAGCCTTCACAGATAGCTCCCATGTGTTCCCCAGCACAGTAAGCAGAAAATGGGTTTGCACTGCTATGGAAGAAAATTGCCTTTACTTGCTGCAGGGTGCCACAGGAGGGAATCAAATCTTAGTAGGGGTGGGAGTGAAGGGAACGAATTAGAACCTTTCAGCAGCCATTGGCCTATCAGAGGTAATACTTTTCTTGCTGATGACTTTCCTCTTCTATGTTTGTGTCAGTCTGTAGAGTAAAAGCAGCATCAGCCAACTTGAGGGATTTCTATTTTAACCCAACAGTCAGGGCTGGGCAACCCAGATGCTCTGGAATGAGACTGGAAGCTTTGTAAAGGCTTACACAGTACTGGGGAGTCAAGAGTCTTTGCAGCTCACTTCTTTGATTCTTCATGTGAGTCTCATTAAGTTGCTCAGAGCGATAGGAAAATGAGATGGAGTGAGCTGGATGTCCTTTAGAAAAGGCTTTTTTGGATGGCAGACAACCTAATAAGTATAAAGGCTTGATGTGACCCCGCTATGACCATGCAGTGTCCCCAATGCAATATAAATGACAGAATACTCCCATGCTCCCTGTTCCCTGCGTGTTGCATATGCTAGGACTGCTGCGCCCAGGTCCGCACTCTTTTCCTACCCTCATCCCTCCTGAATGGTTTTGTCATTTTCCAAATGCCTGAAATATTGCAGAACAACATAAAAGGATGGCTCCCAGCCCCTCGAAGATGCAGCCTCTTGCTGTTCCCACTGCACACATCCAACAAACCGCTGACCCCCACCGCTTCCAAAAATTCTGTTGCTTTTCACTGCTCAGTAAGCATGGTTATCTGAAAGAGGCACATCCCTTCTGCTGAAGAAAGCTGTTGGTATAAATATATTTATTCTGCTACCACACAGATGAATCCCAATATTTGCTTTAGCATAACCACCCTGGAGACGCTATTTCCATCCTGCAGCACCCTAGGGAAGGAGTAATAAAGATCTGAATAGTGTGAGTTGCTCCACTGAAATGGAAATTTTCTGTAGCTGTACATTTGGAATGTAAAGGTATTTCCAAGCCACTGAAGGGTGTATCCCAAGCACACAAATTGCAGCCCATCTGGGAATGCTAGAAAGCAAGAGTTGTAGCATGAGGGCTCCTTGCTTCTCTCCTTAGGCATATCCCCAGCACATGACTGATCTTTGTCACCACATTTCTACAGGGATCTCAACTTCTCCATCTGCTGAAGTGTTGTTATGGAAAACAAGAGTGATTGGCAGAGCTACACGTGCTTTTTCTCCTTTCCTTTTCTTTTGGTAAAGAAAGACATTGATTCAAAAATGTGATGGGTTCTGCCTTTGGGCTAATCGTAGTGGAGGTGGGACATTTTCCAAAGCCATTATATTTCCTTGGCTCACCGGAGCACTTTGCTGAAGAGGTGGGTCTGCAATAGCCCAGCTTCCTGCAGATTGCCACTGGGTGGCAACAGCTCCTTGTTCAGGGCTGCACCAGGCTCGTTGTGCACCGACAGAACATCATTGTGTGCAAGTACACGCGATGCCCTTCAGAGCTGACAATGGCTTACGTGCAGAAAGTTGCTTGCTGTCGGGCTATATCCTAGCTTTTGCAGTATTTCATGTTTTTCTTGAAACCTTGATCATTGGGGTCTGCTTTTGCTTGAAAAATTAAAGTATTTCTTCTGCTTGAAGAAAAATGTGTTTTTATGGCCTAAGCACAGCTTTCAGCTCAGCTAGAGCTTTCCTGACAGGCTTCAGCTGCAACAAAAGGTGCCCAGAGTGCACTGTTTAAGAATACACCTCATTTTGAAGGCTTTTCACTTCTGTGAGATTCTATTAATTTATTTCTATGAATAAGTTATGTCAGGGGAATTAGAGTCTGCTGGACCATGCTTGCCTGCTTTACAGGTTCATTATCTAAGCCACTGTGGCATCACAGCCAGGGCAGCAGCCCAGGGTGTTTGGTGATGCTGTAAACCCACACAGGCCCTCAGGTAAGTCCTGTGCAGGCATATACATGGAGTTAAATATTTAAAGTTGTTTGAATGTTGCTGTCGAATGGTTCAGACTTTTGAGCATTTCGGGTAAGCAAAAGTGCAGGGTTGTAAAGCATGCTGGTGTTCCTGGATTGTAAATGTTTGAGTTTTCTGTTCTGTTAAAGCTGATTATATTGTATGAGTTTTTTTTCTCCAGTTTGAGAAAAAATAAAGTAAAATCAGAAGGTGGAGATTTCCAACTAGAAAATCACTATTTCCAAGATTTCCCATTCTCCTGATATTTACAAAGAATGTAAAGTCAGTCTGTTTTAAGGCAAGAATGGAACAAAGTATGACTTAACCTGACTTCTTTCATAGCAAACCATCCACTTCTGTAAATGGAGAACGAAGCTAGAGAGCCACGAGGCTCTCCAGAACACCTAGGGGTTTACCTGCTGGTTGGAGATGCTTGAAACTTTTGTGTATCTGCATGCAGATGACTTGCTGAGAGTCTCTCGGGACATGTGGCAGTATGGGCAGGCACTGAGGCTGTTCTGCTGCTCAGATCCATGCTCTGCCCTAGCACCACGTCTTTCTTACCTAACACTTTACTACAGTGTAGATTCTAATACTGGGCCTTGGTATGCTTGCAGAAGACCTCTTTGAAGGCAAATCTGTTTCTCCTGTGTTTGAAGATGCTCAGTTAATTATAAGGATGTAGTTTAAGTAGATCTGTGCCTGTTCCACATGCAGATTCACACGTTTGTGTTTGAAGCGGACCTAAACCTGTATCTAGCATTAGATATGGAGGTTGGTGACCCTGCCTGTGGCGGGGGGTTGGAGCTTCATGATCCTTGAGATCCCTTTCCACCCAGCCCAATTCTATTATTCTATGATTCTGTGATAAACCATACTCAGAAGATTTTCTAGAGGGATAAATTTGTATGTGCTTAGCACTAGAGTGTGAATTGACTTCTCATTCCTGCAGTCTGCAGGGAAGCATCTGTTTCCAGCACATATGACAGTTTGAATAATCCTACCACGTGCAGATGCTGTGAGATTTAGCTATGGCTGCCTTTGGCTTCATCCTGTGGATCAATCACATCCACACTGCTGAGCATTTCTGCTGGTGTTTGCTTTCTGCAAAGGGGAGGGTTTGCTTTTCTGAAAAAGGATGTTTTTATCAGGGATGGATTTTATCCGTCAGCTGACAGTCTTCTCTCTGTTGGAAGTTGTAGGAAAACCCTTCAGTATCATTTCCTTCTTTTCTCACCGCTGGATCTTCGGATGGATGGGCTGCCGCTGGTATGGATGGGCTGGCTTCTTCTTTGGCTGTGGGAGCCTTATTACCATGACAGCTGTCAGTCTGGATAGATACCTAAAAATCTGTCACTTGGCTTATGGTAAGGAAGAGAAAATGTATTAAGGGATGTTCTCATTCTGCCTCCTCTCCCCCTCCTGCCCAAGAAGACATTGGTCATTAGGGTTGTGAACAACCAGGGCAAGGAAACACAACAATTAGAAATTATTTCCTGAAATAAAAGGAGAAAAAGAACAAACCACAGCACAAAACCCAAACCAACAAAGCAAACAGTGAAATACAGAAGAGGGAGTTAAGGATTTACATGACCAGAAACAACTGCTTTGGTTATCTCTGCCAACATCCTACTTAAAATTAGGAGAACTTTCTTCACTGAGAGGGTGGTCAGGCACTGGAAAAGGGTCCTTAGGGAACCGATCATGGTCTTGTACCTTAATACATGATTTAACTCTTAGATTGTCCTCTGTGGAGCCTGGAGTTGGACTCAGTGTTGTCCAACAGAATATTCCACGATTCTACAAATTTTCTCAAATGTCTCTGAATCAGAACCAAAATTTCTGATGGACTGGAGTGTTGCCATGAAGGTAGGTAGCCTTCTGTTTGAGATGTCAAGTATGTCTAAGCAGATCATACTGATGGTAGAAGAAATGGCCAGTTCTAACATGAGTAGGCTGTTGGGTCTTGTTACACTTCATTTGCTGGATGGCAGAAGCCCTTTGCAACCACTGAAGCTGTGCTCTTAACCTCTCCTTGGATAAATTAAGCATCTTAAGCTTTTTCTCCTGTCGTTATCATCTGAGGTTTCTAGCCTGAAATCACACTTAAGCTCTCCAAAATACTGCTGTTAAATATGGAGAGGAATGCATGTATCAAAGTGATGTGTTTGCATGACCCAAGTAATCCATGCTAAATCTGTAGTGCTTTTGTCCCTCTGCTCTCTGCTTAAGTCAGAAGTTTTAGTAATCACTTACTGATAAATCACTTTGTGGCTACCAAGCACCACTGATGTTAACAGATTCAAGTTTTGCACATATTGAAAGGTCTTGTGACCTGATACACAAAAGTATTCCTCATTAGACGCCTACATTCCTGTAAGATATTTGGTAGGTTATTCAAGAGCTAAAAGATTTGGATGTGAAACAGCTCATAATAAATGTGATATCTCTCTGGTCTGGAGATAGGTCTTGAAAGGAGGAAATGAATTTAGCAATGAAAGCTGCTATTGACATATCCATCAGCATTGTACATCTCTCAAACATGAAGTATTACATGCTTAACTCTTTTCAGTTAAAGAACACAGTCACAGTTTGGAAAAGATGTTTTTCTTGCATCGGGAGGATCTAACTCCCCAACAAAATAAGGGGAATTCCCATGATTGTTGCTGAGCTAGCTGTTTGGATTGCTTTTGTACAGACTCCTGTAGGCAGTAAATCACGATAGCTCAAAGCAGAACCTAACATGTCATCTCTGCAGTCGAGCATCTCTCCATGAGGTACGGAGCAGGGCTGGGGTGGTTAGCTTGGGTGTCCACTGTAGGAGGAGCTGAAATGAACCCTATGAGGTTGCTGACAAACAGCCAAGGAAGCTCTTGCTTTACACGTAGGATGACATGTTTAATTGTGCCAAATACGTGCGGAACAGTGGTTGTAACCCTCAAATTTTCTTCCAGGTACCTGGCTTAAGAGACACCATGCCTTTATCTGCCTGGCACTTATCTGGGCCTATGCGACATTCTGGGCTACGGTGCCTTTTGCTGGTGTGGGAAGCTATGCTCCTGAGCCCTTTGGGACCTCGTGCACCCTGGACTGGTGGCTGGCGCAGGCTTCAGTGGCTGGGCAGGCTTTCGTTCTCAGCATTCTTTTCTTTTGCCTCCTGTTTCCAACTGCAGTGATTGTGTTCTCCTATGTTAAAATCATTTTAAAAGTCAAGTCGTCCACCAAAGAGGTTGCTCACTACGACACCAGGATCCAGAACAGCCACATACTTGAAATGAAGCTGACCAAGGTAAGTGGGGAGAATTAACCTCATTTACCTTACTGGATCATAAAAATGGGTTTGAAGAATGTCAGCAGTGTGCTGTCTTGTGCTGAGTGATGGCATGATCTGAAAGTCATGATCTCATTGATGAGAGTCTCATGAGTCTCTCACATATTACTGCCAAGATGGGAAAAAGCAAGAATGGAGTCATAATTTCCACAATGATACTGGCTATTGTGCAGTTTCAATACAAAAGCTTGTGCCAAACAAAGCCAGACTTCTTAGTTGTAAAAATTCACCATCATCCGCAATCCAGGCCAAGAAGCAGACGGGCAGCTTCCTTTACTTGGCTGATCCAGCATTCATTTCATTGCGTTTTTAAGAGGTTAAAATGAGATTTCTATAGTATGCATCGTATCAGAACACGCCTGAACTGCCAGTGACTGCAGTGCTGTCAGTGCAGCTGGCAAAGCTGCATTTGTGATTTGTGTTTAAAAATGGTCACCTGGGTGCAGTGCAGTTTTTCAGTTATTCAGCAGCTTTGCTCTGAAGAATGGGGGAACTTCTGATTCAGTGTATGGGGTTTGACTCTTTTCCCCATGTTGCAGGAGCCTTGTAACACTTCTATGTATAGTAATTGTAGCAACTTTCCCTCCTACCTTGGATGTACAGCGGGGCATGTTGTCTTGGAGCTACAGTATAGTTGGTTTATACATAAATATGGAGTATGAATCTCCATCACAACGCACCTAACCGCGCTGTGTGGTTTCCAAGAGAGGCAGTGTTTGAGATCCTTGGCTGACGAGCACTGTTTTGTTAGTGATGGGCAACAAAAGAGCATAATATATGAAGCTTCCCTGCCAATAATATTTCTACTAAGATGTAGAACAAAAGGCTCCACAAAAGCTTTTGTAATACACAAAAAAAATTGTGTTTTCTGATGGCATTTTCATTGCAGTCCTCCTCTTTGTCTTAATCAAATGAATGTGCCTGTTGTACTCTCAGGCTGGGTATGGAGGAACACTCAGCCAGTGGCAGCTCTAGAATGGCATACATTCTTCAGGATGTAGTATTGCGTGATGGCATTTGATGTGATGAGGACTGATCTGGAAGTAATGCTTCCATTTTATGATGCTGACCCATGATGTCAGAGGTGGATGTCGGTGGGATGGCAGCAGGGGCTGTAAAACTGTGGGTCACCTCCTCTGGCGCAGTTTTGCAAACAAGGAATGCAGGCTCTTGGTCATCACTGTGAAAATGCACAGCTCATGGTGGTGACTATGTTGAAAAATTGTATTTTGTAGCTGAGATTGTGCTCTATAGTGTTATTGTGCTCTTTGTATCCCCTGTAGTTTCCATGGAAATAAATAGGAAGTCCAGGTATATCAAGCTGTGACTCAGTAGAGACAAACTGGCTCAGATAAAGTCAATATATCCCAGGTTATGGCTGAAAGAGGTTTTGTTTAATGTTTATACGAAATAATGCTATGGTTACATTTCCTAGTGTTACTAGGAACTCACTTTCTTGGAATGCAACTTTCCAGGAGTGCAACTTAAAAAATCTGTAGGAATTTGCTTTTCAAAGTATCCGCAGAGACTCATGGAGTATGAAATCCATGTTAGGTGTAAAGAAAAAGAAAACTGGATGTTGTACCAGTGTTCTCACTCTCAAATTTCCGATTGATTCAATTCCGGTCGATGCAAGTAAATACACTATTTTGTTATCTGCTGAGATGGGTAATCCCACTGACCTGACCTCTCATGTTTTCTTGAATGACTTAATGCTCACTTTCTGGTATTGGAAGGAATCCAAATGTCAGGCATTTTTCCAGCAGAAGATGGGCCATGGACCCCCTCATGGGTACAGGGAGATGAACCTGGTTTGGAAAAACTCTTCTCCATCCTGCTCTTACGAGCGCCCATCCTCACGGAGGGTTCCCCACCCCATTGGGTTTTGACTCTTTCTCTCAGGGACATCAGCACAGCCTACAGGAAAGCAAGTAGCCCTGAGCTGACTGGGAGTGCTGTGATTTAGACGTAGGGTTATGAACTTTAGGTGGTCCTCTGTGCAACCAGGAGCTGGACTCAAGCATCCGTGTGGGCTCCTTCTAACCACGATATTCTAGGATTATTTTGTTCTCTTTTTAAAAATTATTTTTATTTGCAATTAAGATAGCAAGAGTCTGCGTGGGAAAGTAATACTGGGGTGACTTGTGATTTCCCTCCAACTGTCACCAACGTCTGATTATTCCGTGGAGGCAGAGTTAAGTGTTTAAAATCCTCTTTCGTATCCAGGGAAATGAAATGCAGAGAGAAGATGCTACACCTTTTTCAGGCTGCGAGTTTATCTCAAGCAGGTTGTACTTTTTCTTTCCCATTCCATTAGATGTTCCCTTGCATTTTGCTGAACTTTGCAATGTTCTGTCAGCAAGGACGGCTCTTCCAGATTAACTCCTTTCCCTCTTCCTCTCACAAGGTGGCAATGTTGATCTGTGCCGGATTCCTCATTGCCTGGATCCCCTACGCCGTGGTCTCTGTGTGGTCAGCCTTTGGACGGCCGGATTCCGTTCCCATTCAGTTCTCGGTGGTACCAACTCTGCTTGCCAAGTCGGCTGCCATGTACAACCCAATTATTTACCAGGTCATTGATTGCAAATTTGCATGCTGCCGGTCAGGTGGGCTGAAGACACTGCAGAAGAAGAGCTCTTTGAAGGGATCGAGGTAATTTCTTCTTTGAGATGTCAGATGTGTTTCAATACAGTACTCCAAAAAATTACTGAACATAAGATCTTCCAAGAGTCATGGCTCTTCAAATCTCTGCTTTTGTTTTTGACCCTGGCCTTTCTTTTTGACCATGACTTATGCAAGGTCTTTCTCTTCTGGTTCCTCTTCTTTACTTTATGTAAAGGAAACCGTGAAAAGCCCTCATCGAACAAACAAACAAATAAAGAATCCAAAAAGGCCTCAGATCCATTTCCAGCTTTGTAGCTTTGGTGCAGTCTGTGCTGACCATCATTAGAGGTCATGGAACCACCGGCTGTCTGTGGAAGAAAAATACCTCTAGTTCTGTCTTATCTTCCGAGTCAGAACAAGAGAATGCTGTAAACCAGTCTGACGGCAGGGGCTGGAGTTAAGGCCACAGATGCTCTACCAGAGTTAAGTGACTGGAGATACATAGAAAGGAAAATATGAGTACGTACGTGTGAGAGGCATGAAGACCTATGGCGGCATTCATTGTGTTTCCTTTCCTTTTAATGTATTGTCCACAAGAGCACTTGATATTTTCTGTGGCATCCCTTAGCAGGTGGTTCTGTGACCATAGGCTCGGATTTATCTCATCTGCAGAAGATACAGGGTCTATAGATGTTGTGTGGCAAATTCATAGGTTAGCCAAGAAACCTCTGCAGCTTTGGGCAAAAGGGAGACAAACCTGAAGCAGCCTTAAATATCACTGCAAAGGAGGAAGGAGGTTGAATAAAGTCCCTCTTTCTCGGGCTTGTGTGGTGAAGAAATGTTCTAAAAAATGACCTTTCCCAAATTAGGAAGTTAATGGCTAGCTTGTGTCATGCAACATGCCTGTGCTTTCTTTTCCTGCAGGATGTACACCATATCTTCACACAGGGATTCGGCAGCACTGAGTGAAACACAAATGGAAGTGTGAAGGCTTGTTTCACAGTGAGGGAAAACCCGATGGCAAACAATCATACCGCTGAAATTTCGTCTTCCTGTGAAGAAATTAAAACAATGACAGGTTTTCTTTTTTACTCCTCAGTCATACGTACAATGTAGTTCTTTCCATACCAACTGAAACAGGGTGATTAGAGCCAGGTGAATGTTTTAATTATTCAGAGAAGAAGAAAGAGAGGAGATTCATTTGTATAAAAGAACCGGATTCAGAGCCTTTGAAATACGTTTTTTGTTTCATAGAAGCACAGAACGGTTTGAGCAGGAAGGGACCCCGGAGGCCATCAGCGCAGGCCTGCAGCGCACAGCACACCGCAGCTCCTCAGTGCTCACAGCCCCGTCCCCTGGCCTTGGCTGCGTGCAGGACGGGGCAGCAGCACCTCTGGGCACCCTGTGCAGCGCCTCACCGCCTCACCGCCAGCGGCTCCTTCCTTACATCCACCGAAATCTGCCCTCCTTGGCTCCGAACCCATCGCCCTCGTCCCGGCACGCGGACCCCGATGAGAGTCTGCCCTTCTCTCATACAGCCCTGCAGGCACCGCAGGCCGCTCTCAGCTCTCCCCGCTCCTTCTCCTCTCCAGCAGCACAGCCCAGCTGCCCTCGCAGGGAGCTGCTCCATCCCTCAGGCCATTTCTGTGGCACCTCTGGATGTGCTCCAACATGTCGTACAGCAAATCCCTGCTCAATCCTAAGTATGAATCTGGACTCAAAGCCAACGCTGAGAAAGGTTACGGCACACGTACACAGAAATCTTTCTCATGTGCAGTTGGGCCTGATTCTAAAGCACAAACTCTGCAAGGATGAAGTCTAGGAAGGATTCAGGCAGTCCCGAAGAGAGCACGTAAGTCTCAAAGGCAGCACTGAACAAAGGATGTGCTTTGAAAGGATCTGCAGGGTGAGGCGGACACATAATTGCGCTGCACCTGGGCCATAATTCTTCTCATTCTGTTCTTCTTCATTTGTGGATTTGCCTTAAAAATGAGGCATCCCTATTCACCAGATATTAGCTGTCCAGTATAAGCAGGTTATTAACTCTGATGTTTGACTTTGGTTTCTTCTGGGAGGAACTGAGATATGAAATAAGTAACAGAACTAGGACTTTGAGAAAGCACTAGCAGAACTCACTGAAGGGTGAGGAGTTGCTGTGATACCTATGTGATATTCTATGCCAAATTTTGCCAAGAAATCAAGTCTTTTCATCTCTATGGATCTTTCACTACAGAGCAATGTTGTAATGTAACCCAGCTGGCAGCCCTTGGCTCCTCCCCACCCCCAACACCAGGACATGACCTGAACCAAAGCATCAACAAAGCCCAACACAGGAACTGCTTCCTTCTCTGAAAGAAGTTTTCTTTACTGCATCTTCAATATTTCAACCCTGTGATATTTATCATTTTATCCATTAATATTATATCTTCAATGAAATTAGTGCCGTGAAGAATAATTGCCATGAATATTATGTATCCTATGTGCACATTCAGACTGAGCTGCCAAGAAGCAAAGTATTATCTGAATTCACTGCCACTGGCTTGAAGGAAATAATGGACATGGGTTAAAACTCCATTTAGATAATGAGCTAACCTGGACAGTAAGATTGTCCCAGTGAGAATAACACACTACTTTGTATTTCAAGGTTACAGGCAATGAAACTGTGTGAAGCCCGTGGATATGAAGACTTTTAATTTGGTCATTACCAGTCATAGCTGTAGAATGTCTTTGAGCCTTCCTCCATGGGCTTGGAAACTGTTGATAACATAGAAGTAATGGTCAACGCTGCTTGAACAGTACTGACATTTGAAAGAGGTGAATTAAGCAAATATTTTTGGTAAAAAAAGTTGAAAGAAGAGCACTAAAGATGGAAGTTGTGGTTGTGAGCTTGAATATTTCACAGAAATTTGCCCATAGAGGTGAATGGAGCTGCAGAAAGATTTCTTTCTATGCCTGTAGTAATAATGAGAGAAAAAACAGCAGCACAGCAATTGATTGGTTTGTTTGTTGGTTGGTTTGGTTGGTTGGTTTTGGTTTGTTTTTGTTTTGTTTGTTTAGATATTTAGATAGTATCTTCATATGAAGGGGTTATCATTAATGAACTGACAGTGCAATGAGAGTGAATGGAATTGTTTGGTGGAAATTTTCTCTTTGATGTAATGTCTTTATGGACAATATTCCACCTGCAGTGTGCAGGGTTATCCTACATTATCCATTTCTGCTTATGATTCTAACCCTTCCCATAAGGAAAATTAAGCTCTTTGCACAGAGAGTGGTGAGGTGCTGGAACAGCTGCCCAGAGAGGCTGTGATGCCCCGTCCATCCCTGGAGGTGTTCAAGGCCAGGTTGGATGGGGCCCTGGGCAGCCTGGGCTGCTGTGAAATGGGGAGGTTGGTGGCCCTGCATGGCACAGGGGGGTTGGAGCTTCATGATCACTGGGGTCCCTTCCAACCCAAACCATACTATGATATGATGATGATATGGAACTTCCAGACAATTCAGTTGTTCCTCAGAGAATTTGCTGTGACATCATTTTAGATGCGTTTCCCAACTCAGAGTGTTCCCACGTGACTCTTGCCTCAGGTTGGAAGTTGATAATAATGTTCACCAGAACACCCTTTTCTCTCCCTTCTCTCTCAAGATAAATGATTGGTTGCTTTCCTCCACATCTGTGTCTTTGCAAGTGTCACAAGGCTTTGGAGTTCTCCAGCCCCAAAGAATAATGAGAAATTAGAATTTCTGTAGAGCTGCTGCTGAGCTTAGAGCATTGCAATGAAGGGAAGAGGCCATTATTGTCATTGCCATCTTTGCATGTGTTCTTGAGCCATTGCATATCCCACAGTGGCCTTCCTCTGCTATTTCTATTCTTGCTTTATTTTTCAGGATGACTTATATTGCCCTTTATTTGGTAGATACAGGTGTAGGGCAGGTTTGCAATTGAAGCATGACCTTCACTTCCCCAGTTACGACATACAACAAAATCTTTTGAAATATAAGGCTTGATTACAGGGTTTCAGGCTCTCATTATTTCTGAACTTAAAGGTTTCTTCATTAACCATGTGTAATCAGCTTTTATCAGCCACTGACTGTAGTTTCATCATTACAGCCATTCTGTTAGTGACCTATTCTAAGAGGAACATTCAAAGTCAAAACAGTTAACAACATTTAGCAACATTTGGATGAAATTTGCTCATAGATAGTAAAGGTTAATTAGCTTTCCTGTGCCACAAAAATAGCTCCTTAATCTTTTTAGTTTTCAATGTAGCATCTAAAGGGAATTCTGGGAGTAGATCTCTTACCCTTGGTGTAAAGTGACAGAGATATATGTGAAATACTAATAAAATACATTATTGTAGCACAGACTGTGTTTTAGTTGTAGATGGTGGGTGTGGCATGAGGTATACCATGCATTTTAAATGACAAATAATGTTTACGTTGCATCAAGCTTCATCCTACATTAATGGAAATATTAAACATTTAGAAAATAGGTACCCGTATGAAGTAGATACGACAAGGAGTCGTGAAGGTCTTGTCAGTTCAGAAAACGGGCCACACAGAGGCTTAGCATCCTAAAGTAAGAAATTGGGATGAAAGTCAAAAAAGGGGTTTGCATTCATGGGGGCAATTTGCAACACCTAAATGTCTCCCTCCAATCTGAACATCCTTCACACTGAGTTGAAAGACATTATATTGAACAGTGAATAGAGAAGAATCTGCCTGGCTTCCTGCCATTTTGGTCTCAAAGCTAAGGAACAGTGTAGAGAAACTAAGGAAAGTATAGTGGATCTGGGGAGACCACATTGCGGCCTTCCAGTGCTTGAAGGGAGCAGATAAACAGGAGGGGAACGGCTGTTTGTGAGGGTGGGTGGTGATGGGACAAGGGGAATGGTTTTAAAGTGAGACAGGGGAGGTTTGGGTTGGATATGAGGAGGAAGTTTTTCCCCCCGAGGGTGATGAGGCACTGGCACAGGTTGCCCAAGGAGGCTGTGGATGCCCCATCCCTGCAGGCATTCAAGGCCAGGCTGGATGTGGCTCTGGGCAGCCTGGGCTGCTGGTTGGCGACCTGCACACAGCAGGGGGTTGGGACTGGAGGAGCGCTGTGGGCCTTTGAACCCAGGCCGTTCTGTGATGATAAGAAGATGTAATTGTGCACAAGCAGCAGAAGCTAAGAGGAGAAGGTGACAGGGTTAAGTTAAGTAGCCTAGAAGAGGAAAGGTCTGAGAGTAAATTATAACAGTCTATAAATAGCTTTAAGGCAATAATAATGTAAATGAAGAAAGGGAATTATTTGCTGTCTCTGAGGGTGACAGAATGAGAAATCAAATGTGGAAGCTAAAGCAGGAAAAGCTGCAAGACGAGTTTCTGAAGGAGGGGAGCAGTCAGGCCTGGTGAGGGGTTTCAAGGGGAGAAGTTGGTGTCTGATTTACCAGAGTAACCAGTCCAGTAGCAGAACTTATAACTGGAAATAATTCCTTTCAGTGCTGAGATCTGGTTTTCTGAAAAATTTCCTAACGTTAAAATTGACACTGTCTTACCTTAGGGTCTGCCTTTGTTCGTGGGGAACACACTGATGTCATACCAAAGGCTATACTGTGCACACTGAAACCCACTTCACGAGGTCTGGTGTACAGTGAAACTCTGTTTAATGAATACAAAGTCGTTGCAGTGTAGTGGCGTGTATAGCTGCCAAGTGCAAAACTCTGTTTTGAGAGAAATAGCTTAGCTTTCTCAGTTATTAGGTGAGTTTCTAGAGAGGTATCATTCTGTAGCACTTGCAGTTCATGACGAAACAAAGTGCTGCAATTTCTGCCTTGGATAATTTCTTGGAATAATACGTTTTCAGTTATGCTACTGAGATTTTGAGAATACGATGATAAACCTGGTACCTGAACATGATGAAATTAAAATACACCCAATAAATACAGGGAAATTAAATTGCATGAAGAAATTACCTTTAGGAAAAAAAAACATTTATTAGTAGAGTGTGAA